CTAATTTCAAAATAAAGGTCATGGAGACTAAAAGACTAACCAACTTATCCAAGAGCATAGAGCATTGGCTCTGCTTGCTTTTATAGTCTCTTGTCTGGAACTCCAACTCATAAACATCCTACCCAACATCATGAAACAGACCAAAAAAAGCAACATTTCAGAAATTCATGTTTGAGATACATTTGGATCTATCAGGATAGATAGATTTGAGAATACAATATCTAAGGGAAGTGTAAAGACAAGTCAGTATATAAAGTGCATTCACGTTTGACTAAATCCTCTGATGGGCTATCCTTGATAATCTGGTCGAGGACAGAACACAGTTTGTGACCCAGGGTTCTTTTTATTTTGAAAATCAACATCCTGTGGGTAACTCCAGCCTTCCATCAACTAGTAATGCTCTGCCCTGCTTCTGACCAGAATGCTTCCCTTTCCCGACTCTCCTAATACAACCTCTCCAAATTTCTTCAAACTGTTAACTCTTGCTCATTCTGCACACATTCGGATTAGCTGCATCACCTCCTTCAGGAAACCTGCTTTGTGTCCTGTCTCTGATTTAGAAAGCAGCCTTTGTGTTCATAGAGAAACCTGTACAGAACTCTACAAGTGCCTCAACACTCTGATCCCTACCTTTGGCATTGTATCCTTCTCCCCTCAATCAGACGATAAATTCCTTGAAGATAAGAGATAAGGGCATTGCCTACTTCACTTTCTTCTTCTCTAAAGCTCACCCTGATTTGGTTCAGGTCTCCATCCCTCACCTACACAGTCTACATGACTCAAGGGAGGTGACCAGTTTCCCACCTCCAAAAATGGATCTAATTGTTTACACTAGAGGCAATTATCAATCAGGATCGATTCGGCACCCCAAGGGAACATGTAGCAAAGTCACAATTGGAGTTTGTTATTGGCATCTGGTGGGCTGAGGTCAGAGATCTAGGAAAATATCCTGAATTGTATGTCACAGCTCCCTAGGTCAAGGAATTACCCAGACCAAGCATCCTAGTTCAAATCGCCTTGGTGTGGCTTTGTTCCTGACTGCTAAGGGTCCAAGTATGTGTCCTATGTGGCCAATCAGACTGAAAGCAAAAACTGATATTGGAAGGAGATATAAGATAGACATGGGAAGGAAGCATGAGGAGAAAGCAACAGGACCAACGGTTCCAGAGGGATTTGGGGAGAGGAGGAGGCAGGGGAAGGGAGTGGTGAGCAAACACCATAGACAAGGGAACAACTAGGGAATTAAAATCAACAACGAGGAGGACAAAGAGATCTTGGGGTGTTGGAGCAGCAGCAGCAATCTAGCAGAGAACAATTACTAAGAGGCAGAAGAAGGGCAAGAGTGATGGTGGGGCAGGACGAAGGTTAAAGGAAACAGGAAAGACCTGAAGTAAATCTATAGAGCAGTGGTTCTCAACCTTCCTAATGCTGCGACCCTTTAATACGGTTCCTCATGTGGTGGTGACCCCCAACCAGGAAATTATTTTCCTTGCTATTTCATAATTGTACTTTTGCTACTATTATGATTCAGGCGACCCCTGGGAAAGGGTCGTTCAACCCCCAAAGGGGTTGTGACCCACAGGTTGAGAACCGCTGCTATAGATAGAGGTATAGATATAGGTTTGCACATATGTAAATGCATTAATTAATAAAATATAGGTATTGGCCTATGTACATATGTTCATATGACAACACACTGAGGTAGTGGGTGGACTTTGGGCCTTTGCTCAGGTTGTTTTTTCTAACAACCTGGCATTCTGTGATGGTCATCCTAGCACAAGCACAGAAGACAAAATGGGTGCACAAACAAGTGTGGTGAAGAAAGCTGATGGTGACCAGTTATGAAGAGATATAGCGTCTGGGGTCTTAAAGGATTGAAATTAAGCAAGCAGCCATTTAGCAGAAAAGCAGCAAACCCACATGGAATAAGCACACCAGCCTGTGTGATCATGAGGTGTCGATGGGATCAGGTAACAGGCATAAGAAGACCCAAAACAAACAAAAAACCATAATGCTGAGAATGAGGTGGATCGGGAGCAGAGACCCAAAACCCATCTGTAGACAATGGGACATCCCCTCACAGAAGGGTCACAAGGAAGGGATGAGTCAAACAGGGCATTTTAGCACCAATGAAACACAGTATTTCTCTGGTTCTTTGAGGCTTCTTCACCCCCCACTATCATGACCCCAGTCCTGCCTTTCACTGAGGGATAAACTGGAGCATGTGCACAGGTATATATGAGATAAGAGAGCTCAAGACACACAAAATCCATGAACAGAAATGAGATTAGTGATATCAGGAGGGTAGGGAGACAAGGGGAAAAAGGGGTGAACCCATTGCAATATTTGACGTTTACCCCCCCTGCCCCGCCCGCCTGCCCTGGGGGACGAACAAAAGAACCATGGGGGAAGGGAGACAGAGGTCAGGGTAAGATATGAAAATAATAATAATTTATAATTTATCAAGGGGTCACAAGGGGGAAGGAGGAGATAAAATGAGCTGATCGGATCCTGAGTTAACAGGTATAAGTTCCTTTATGCCCTTACTGAAACCCCAAACTCACTGCCTTAATGGCAACACAGACTCATGGATGAAAGATTCTGACCCATTCTTTACTTTAAAATCTATGTCGCTTTAATGTCTTCCTTGTAATAAAGAAAAAATAACATCTGGGATGTCCCAAATTTCCTTGTGCTTTGAAGGAACGTCTTAGTAAGGTCTGCATAAATAGTGTGTGTGTGTGTGTGTGTGTGTGTGTGTGTGTGTGTGTGTGTGTGTGTGTGTGTTTGTAAAAAGAAACACCTTTAAAAGAAATGTTTCTGGGATAGATTTTTGGTTGTCTTTGATGTGGTGGCAGTCCCTCTTACCCACCCCACCCCACCCCACCCCACTTTTTTGGTGGCATCAGTCCCTAAAGTGAATGCAAAGATTTCCTTGTTGAAGTGTCCTTGAACCCTCTGAAGAGGTTCCAAAAGCAAAGAACCAGCTTCCAAGAATCTCCCAAACTCCCACTATCCAGTTGACTTCTCATTCTCCATCACATCCCTGGCAGCTAAAACCCTAAAGGCATCAGAGTGGTGTGGTGAATTTTCCTTTCTCCTCTTTGTTCTTAGCAGTAGCCCTAGGTAAGTTTTTTTGGCAGGAAAATGACTGATATTCCTGGTTAATTCAGGGAAGCTCCTACCTGCCTCCTTTAATATCCTATCTAGGGACAATCTAAAAGTGTTTGCAACTGCAGTGGCTTGTGTAGGGTCAAAGGCATAAGACATTTATAGTGCTATCAACAAGAGTCTTTAACATACTGATAATTTAATGTATGCAAATTTATTATAGATAAGTGTACAGATAATGCATTTTGTTTGCTGTTTCTGCATACAATATACTTTTAAAAATCTGTAACGCTTGAGAATTTAGTTATGTAAATTCTTTCCCCCATTTTCTTTGCTATCATCATAAATACTCCTTTCAATAATTAGGAATAAAAGGAAGATGGAAAATTTAGAAGCCATTACGACCCTTCCCCCCTCCTTTCTCTTGGAAAAGCAATTTAATTAGGAAATGATCTTCCCCCTTAACATCTTGCAGTTATCATAAAATGACATCCCGCATTACTGCTAACAAAAGCAGTCTGCAGGAGTTGGTTGCAAAATTTTAAGCTATTATATTACTATGAAAAGATGTATTTTTTTTCACTTAAAAGAGAAAAAAACTTTCGAAAAATCAGAAGTGGCAAAGCACTGTATTTTTTTTTAAACACTCACCAATATTTTAAAAAAGTACAATTTCAGAGGGCAAGGAAGGGAAAAGGGCGCATCAGAGACAACTGCTGCCTGGGGATGACCGTGCTCGGCTCTTGGGGTGTGTGCGCGCGCGCGCG